AAGGAAGGAAGATGAGTAGATAAATAGATGTATTGAAGGGAAGATGGATGGATGGATGGATGGATGGATGGATGGATGGATGGAAGGAAGGAAGGAAGGAAGGAAGGAAGGAAGGAAAGAAGGAAAATGAATAAATAGATGGGTTGAAGGGAAGGAAGGAAAGAAAATGAGTAGATAAATAGATGGATTGAAGGAAGGAAGGAAGATGAGTACATAAATAGATGGATTGAAGGAAGGAAAGAAGGAAGGAAGGAAGATGAGTAGATAAATAGATGGATTGGAAGAAAGGAAGGAAGGAAGGGAAGATTAGTAGATGGATTGAAGGGAACGAAGGAAGGAAGATGAGTAGATAAATAGATGGACTGAAGGGAAGGAAGGAAGGAAGATGAGTAGATAAATAGATGGATTGAAGGGAAGGAAGGAAGGAAGGAAGGAAGGAAGGAAGGAAGGAAGGAAGGAAGGATAGCAGAATAACAGAGTTGAAGGAACTTTGGAGGTCTTCTAGTCCAACCCCTTGTTCAAGCAGGAAACCCCATACTATTTCAGACAAATGACGGTCCAGTCTCTCCTTAAAGTGATGGAGGAGCACCCATAACTTCTAGTGGCAAGCCGTTCCACCGCTTCATTGTCCTCTCCCCATTAGGAAGTTTCTCCTTCACTCCAAGGTTGCTTCTCTCCTGAATTAGGTTCAGGGAAGATTGAGACGGTCCATCCACCCTCCCAACTCCTCCACACTCACCTGAAAGCTGGGATGGCCTTGGCGAACTGGATGACTTGTTGGATCATGAAGGTGCTGAGGTCGGCAAACAGGGGCAGGAGGGAGAAGACGTCAGGTAGGACCTCCTCCGGATTGTCCTCGTGGGCGGACAGGAGATACAGAGAAGAGAAGGAAGCCTCCTGAGAACCTCGGATGTCCGGATTGTGGAGACCGAGACGGACTGGCGGCTGCAGAGAGAAGCTGGGTCAGATGACTTTACTGAGGATGCTGTGGGTGAGACCTTCCCCCTAACCCCAGAGCTGGGACAACCCCATCCTGCCTTACAGGTGTCCTCGATTCTCGATACGATATTTTATTTGGGATTGCTTCATTTTGATATTCTAGTTTGGTATTTTTTTATTCTATACTAGCCGGGAATATATAGGGGGGAAATATCCGGACTAAACGTAATTTCTAATGTTGGATGTACAATAGATGCCATTTTAGGGCAGTACAGTAGAAGCCATTTTAAGGCACAACAGGCTGTATCTTAACAGAACACACACACCAAGCATTTTGATATTCTAGTTTGGTATTTTTTTATTCTATACTAGCCGGGAATATATAGGGGGGAAATATCCGGACTAAACGTAATTTCTAATGTCAGATGTACAGTAGATGCCATTTTAAGGCACAACAGGCTGTATCTTAACAGAACACACACACCAAGCCGTGTTAGGGGTGTCTTGCCCTCAAGGTAGTTTTGCAGGATCCAATTTGAGGTCTTATCTGATGTTGATTTATTTTTTTACTCGATTTCATGTTGATATTTTGTCTTCGGTTTAATTTTATTTGGATATTTTTATTTTATCATGGCATCGTATTTTGTTACGATTCTTTATTTTATTTTGAGGAGCGGTGCGGAGGCCCAGAGGCGTAGCTCTCGCCTCACAATCGGCAGGCTGTGAGTTCGAGCCTAGGTAGAGGAAGATATTTCTCTCTCTCTCTGGGCACGATGAGAATATTATCTGCTGAACAAAACTCTGCACTGGCGACACGAAAGGCATCCGGCCAGTTAAAAACAAACTCCATTCAGTTGCCCAGGGATTATGGGGTCGTTAAATGATGATGTTTATTTTATTTTGACATTTTTTTATTTGATGTGATTAATTTTATTCTGTATTATGGAAGGGCAAATGCATAGATCACCGCTTCCCTCCTCGCTGTTCAGCACTGAACTAAACTCTCTAACCTTTAGGATTCACCACCATGACGTCTACAGGTAGTCCTCGACTTACAACGGTTCATTTCGGGACCTTTGGAAGTTACGACGGCCCTGAGAAAAGTGTATCCGGACCAGGTTTCACACTTACGTCTACCCGTGGTCACCTAAACCAAATTCAGACACCTCTTGGCAACTGGCATGGACTTACGACGGTTGCAGTGGTGGTGTGATCCCCTTTTGTGACCTTCTGGCCATGGGGAAGCCCGTTTTCCCTTAGCAGCCGCACGGCTAACTTAACAACGGTGGCGATTCGCTTAACAACCGCGGCCAGAAAGATTGCGAAACGGAACCGACGTCACCTCGCAATAGAAATTTGGGAGTCTTTTGTGGTCGTAAACCGAGGACTGTCAGTATCAGCCGGCCCGTCTTTGGTTTCAACACCCCGATCTGGGGCTGTCTTAAACCCCGACCGAAGAGAGCCTAAACCCGGGTTAAGAGAGTTGTGTGAAGGGAGGAGATCGGTCCTCCTTCTGAATGGCTCACTTGGTAGTTGATGAACTGGGAGAAAGTGGAATCGAAGTGTTTCTTGTGAGCTTCCGTGAGCATCTCGATCAGGTGTTCCTGCTCAGGAGACAAGCCAGGATCCTCCGGGGGGTCGGCTAGGAGAATTGGGGGGCATTTCTGCATCTTCCGCTTACGCAGCGCTCGGCGGGCGTAGAGGGCGTCTTCCGACATGATCACTGGCAGAGGGGGGGGGGAAAGACGATCGGGGCTCAAATGCTGGTTTGCAAGTTGTCCCCATCTTGGAGCTGTTCCGTTTAGTGACAGATCGGGTTTACTGAGAAAGGTGGCTTAAGATTGTCCTTGTCTTGCCTTCCTTTCTTTTCTATTTCTCCCTTTCCTTCCCTCCTTCTTGTCTTCCTTCCTTCTGTACATCCCTCCCTCCGTGACATCCATACTCTTCCTTCCTTCTTTCCTTCCTTCCCTCTCTAGTTTCCCCTTTGTTTCCCTCCTTCTTTTCTCCCTTCCTTCCTTCCATCCCTCCCTTCCATCCATCCATTTTCCTCCCTCCCTCCCTCCCCCCTCTTCCCTTCATTCTCTATTTCTCCCTTTGCTTCCCTCCTTCCTTCTTTCCTTCCTTCCTTCCTTCCTTCTCTATTTCTCCCTTTGCTTCCCTCCTTTTCTTCCTTCCTTCCATCCCTCCCTCCATTACATCCATCTTCCTCCCTCCCTCCTTCCTTCTCTATTTTTCCCTTTACTTCCCCTTCTTCTTTCTTGCCTTCCTTCCTTCTCTATTTCTCCCTTTGCTTCCCTCATCCCTTCTTTCCTTCCTTCCCTCCCTAGTTCTCCCTTTGTTTCCCTCCTTTTCTTCCTTCCTTCCATCCCTCCCTCCATTACATCCATCTTCCTCCCTCCCTCCTTCCTTCTCTATTTCTCCCTTTGCTTCCTTCCTTCTTTCCTCCCTTCTCTATTTTTTTCTTTGCTTCCCTCCTTCCTTCTTTCCTTCCTTCCTTCTCTATTTCTCCCTTTGCTTCCCTCATCCCTTCTTTCCTTCCTTCTCTTTCTCCCTTTGCTTCCCTCCTTTCCTTCCTTCCTTCTCTATTTCTCCCTTTGCTTGCTTCCTTTTTTCTTCCTTCCTTTCATCCCTCCTTCCATTTCATCCATCTCCCTTCCTTTCCCCCTCCCTCCCTCTTTCCTTCCTTCCCTCCTCCTTTCTCTATTCTTCCCTCCCTCCCTCCCTCCCGCATCCCCAATTTTGCTCCTAGGTCGAGGACTGCCTGGACCGTAAACCCCCAGGCGGGTAGCAAGACCCTGACCCTATTTCTGCCTTCCATGCCAGCCCCCTCACCCCCCCACCCACCCCGCTGCCAGCAGCCTTTTCAATCTGAAGCCGGTCTTAAATTGGCTTCTCTTTTGCCGGTTTTCAAACTTTGCTCTTATTTCCTGCTTGCGGAAAAGTTGTGCCAGTCCCCTCCAGCTGGCATTTTCTCAAATTACTCTGCCTTGCCAGCCTCTGCCCGGGTTGGGGGGGGGGTGCTTCGAGCATCTCTCTTCACCCCCTCACCCCAAATGGCTATTTAGAGGCCACCCTGGAGCCCTCCCAGACCTGGCATGTGATGCCAGCTGCTGCGCCTGCCAGCTGCTTCCCTGCCTTTCAACCTGCCCAAAACTGGGATTGTGGGTCATAAGGCAAAGCTGCAATGCATCAACCGCTCGCTCGCCTGCAGTGGCTGCAGCTGCCATCGTGCGCTTCGGGTTCCTGTGCTTCCCCCCCCTCCTGTCCCCCCCCCATCTGTGCCCTGTGGGCTTGCGGTGGTGGAGGGGGGAGAGAAATCCAGCCTCCCCCCCCTGCCCGGATCCTGATTTCACCTCGATGGAATCAGTGGGAGCTCCAGAGAGCCTGGCTGGGGAGTTTTTGGAGAGGGAAAACTCTTGTTTTTGTTTGAGGAAGGAGGGAAGGGAATGGGAAAGCAAGTGAAAAAAAGAAATGAGAAATTAAAAAAGAGGAAGGGAGGGAGGGAGGAAAAGATAGCGGTAAAGGAAAGAAAGAGAGACAGAGAGAGAAAAGAGAGGGAGAAAAAGAAAGAGAGAGAGAGAGAAGGAAACAGGAAGGAAGGAAGGAAGGAAGGAAAGAAAGAAAAGATTGAGGTAAAGGAAAGAAAGAGAGACAGAGGGAGAAAAGAGAGGGAGAAAAAGAGAAAGAAAGAGAAGGAAAGAAAGAAAAAAGAAAGAAAGGGAAATAGGAAGAAAGGAGGGAGGGAAGGAAGGAAAGAAAAGATAGATAAAGGAAAGAAAGAAAGAGAGACAAAGAGAGAGAGAAAAGAAAGGGAGAAAAAGAAAAAAAGAGAGAAGGAAACAGGAAGGAAGGAAAGAAAGAAAATATTGAGGTAAAGAAAGAAAGAGAGACAGAGAGAGAGAAAAGAGAGGGAGAAAAAGAAAGAAGGAAAGAGAAGGAAAGAAAGAAAAAAGAAAGGAAAATAGGAAGAAAGGAGGGAGGGAAGGAAGGAAGGAAAGAAAAGATAGATAAAGGAAAGAAAGAAAGAGAGACAAAGAGGGAGAGAAAAGAGAGAAAGAAAAAGAAAAAAGAAAGGAAGAGAAGGAAACGTGGGAAGGAAAGAAGGAAGGAGGGAAAAGATAGTGATAAAGGAAAGAAAAAGAGAGAGAGGGGGCGAAAAAGGAAGGAAGGAAGGAAGGAAAAGATAGAGGTAAAGGAAATAAAGAGAGACAAAGAGAAAGAAGAGAGGGAGGAAAGAAAGAAAGAAAACAGAGGAAGGAAGGAAGGGAAGGAAGGAATAGAAGGAAGGAAGGAAAAAATAGAGGTAAAGGAAATAAAGAGAGACAAAGAGAAAGAAGAGAGGGAGGAAAGAAAGAAAGAAAGAAAGAAAGAGAAAGAAAGAAAACAGAGGAAGGAAGGAAGGGAAGGAAGGAATAGAAGGAAGGAAGGAAAAAATAGAGGTAAAGGAAATAAAGAGAGACAAAGAGAAAGAAGAGAGGGAGGAAAGAAAGAAAGAAAACAGAGGAAGGAAGGAAGGGAAGGAAGGAATAGAAGGAAGGAAGGAAAAAATAGAGGTAAAGGAAATAAAGAGAGACAAAGAGAAAGAAGAGAGGGAGGAAAGAAAGAAAGAAAGAAAGAAAGAGAAAGAAAGAAAACAGAGGAAGGAAGGAAGAAAGGGAAAGAAGGAATAGAAGGAAGGAAGGAAAGAAGGAAGGAAAAGATAGAGGTAAAAGAAAGAAAGAAAGAAAGAGAAAGAAAGAAAACAGAGGAAGGAAGGAAGAAAGGGAAAGAAGGAATAGAAGGAAGGAAGGAAAGAAGGAAGGAAAAGATAGAGGTAAAAGAAAGAAAGAAAGAAAGAGAGGGAAGAGAGGGAGGAAAGGAAGAGAAGAGAAGAGAGGAAGGAAGAGAAGGAAGGAAGAGAAGGAAGGAAGAGAAGGAAGGAAGAGAAGGAAGG